GTTTTCAGTTGCTTGGATATTCAGATATACAGGTACTCTATTATAAGAAACCTAAATAAACTCAACATTACAATAGGAGTACCAGCTTGTATTTGGCGGGCTAGATGGAACAACATATTTTAATGTTGTTCACCCATAGAACGCAGATGTGTGGCACTAATCATATAGCTAGAAAAGGGAGCAGTGTGATTAGAGAACTCTCTTAAGTTGTTGAGATACGACATCATGTGATGAGGGTACGTGATGATTTTCAATGATGACAAGTCCATGATTCGTGATGCGAAATGAAAGATGAACTACGACCACGTTCGAGATGTGTCTAAGCAGCAAAGAGAAAAAGGCTTTATCACTTTCACGGAAACTATGTCCATAAATCCTTTGTGAAAAGATTGATGGCGAAAAATTTTGCCAAGGTTAATATAATGAGAGAGAATAAGTGAAAATACATGAGAGAGAAATTGTAATTGAGGGGATGAGAATGTGAGGACGAGAGATTGTAAGGTCTTCAAAGGCCAAATGAGAGATGTTAGGTTTATGTTGCCACTAAAGGCCTTATGAAAGCTTGTATAAACATTTCATAATAGTGAAACATAAACTCAATAGGAATGTCGTCCTCTTTTGGACCATATTAGGCAAATGCTATTTATTGATACTCAAACGTGGCTTGACATGCTAGACTAGTTGAGTTGGAAAACCCAAGGTACCTAGGCATAAAACTGAAACCGAAAAGGGCTCAGTTGGTCATCCGTTGATGAGGTTGGAGTTGCCCAGACGAATGAGCTTAGAGATTGTGTGACTCTTGTATGCGATTGTTGGCCTTTAAAGACAGGGTCAAAGCCTCATCTCCAAACCATCACACGGTATGTACAAATGATCGAGAAAGCAAACTACCTTTAAAGGTGAAGCATGTACATGTGAGAGAGATTACCCATATGTACTATAGAGCATTGGTTGCATCATGGTCTGGGGGATTATGGATTCGTCTTTAGAGAGAACCTGTAGTACATAGACTGGGATTGTGTCTTCTAACCTATTGGGTGACTTTGGTGGACCAGTCATGAACCCCTGCAGTGATTTGTTGGTCATAGGAACCACTAGATCAGTTTGAGAAAGTTAGTATGGATCATAGTCTATAGTTGAAGGTGACGTGCGCCAGCTATTTATTAATTCGTAGACCTATATGGATCTAATTCCCTTCACAATTATTTAGGTTTAATTATTTTTATGTTATATGATTTTTAAATTGATTATTTGAATTTTTTTATTCTCTTGATATTTTGTTTTTACCATTTGGATTTATAATATAAGATAAAATCAATTTTCAATAACTCAAATAATATAAGAGAAATAAACATTTCTTATAATTATCTAAAAATTATTTATTAATTAACCCAACATATGGGGGCCCACCATGAGAGGTGGGGGCCATTATTATTTTTATAACTTGGAGATTGTGTGGGGACCACTTAGAGCCACCTAAGCTGGCACACCCTGCACTTAGAGGGTTGACTTGCCATTTTGGTCTAAGCCCCCTCATGCTAAGTTGACTTTCTAATATTTGTGTAAACCCTTCTTGGTTTAGGAATCAAGAAATTTATTTTGGTATGTCTTGCATTGTAAGATCTTTGACTATTCAAAGTCTAGTTGAAAAATAAACGAATATCCAAAAAAAGAAAAAGTACATTTATATTTTTCTTATTAGAATATTTGATGGGAATAAGTTTAGGAAATAGATTATAGGGTTATGGCACCTTCATTTGAGTCTTAATAGTGGATTTAAGAAATAGATGAGTTACATCTCTCACCCCACAAGTCTCCTAAGATCGATATTCTAGATTTAATCTCACTAAAGATGACAAACCTTAAACCTTAGAAAATCTATAAATAGGGGTCACCTCTCCCCTAATCTCTACACCTCTAATCTTCTCTCTTCTCTCTCTAAATTGTCTTTACTTTCTCTCTCTAGGGGGCATGCCCACTTAAGGAAGCTCTCTATCTTTTTAATATATATATATATATATATATATATAGAGAGAGAGAGAGAGAGAGAAAAAACTCTAAAACTCTTCCCAACACCTATAGGCGAAAACGAACAGTGATTTCTCCTACCGTTATCACCATCCAAGCTTCATCGCACGGTCACAGTGTCCAATAGTGTTTCAATTTTTATTTTTTTTCTACAAATCCAAATTATTTGAAATTTGGAATAACATATTTTTATTATGATAAGCCATCATATTTTTTATATTTTATTTTCTTGTGCTAAAGCCTTTCGATCATCTCTCTCCAGAAAACTTCCATGGGCAAATTCAAAAGAAAAAAATAAGTTTGGAGAAATTTGGCTAGTAACCTAGGAGGCTTTATGACTAAATGAGATGTGTATTGGAGGAGAAATTATGTTGGGGCATTGGAGGAGATTGAAGAGGTAAATTAATTTTAAAAAGGTTTGAATAATAATAATAATAATAATAATAATTCAAGCACACTAATTTGACGATTCTCTAAGTGAACTCAAGTATTTTGAGTTTATCAGCAAACAATAGCAGCAAAAAAGAAAAAATAAAGCCAAAAAAACAAACAGATCTTAGCAAAGAACCCAAATCTGTTTAATTTTTTTGGAATAATAGCTACGACTCTGTTGCAGAACCCAAAAAAATAAATCTTGGATATCTGGAAATAAACAATAGCTACAATTGTGGTTGCAGAAGATGGGCTGCTGGTTTTTAGTTGCTAGTTGAAGAAGATGGGGCAGTTTTGTACTGGGTTTTAGTTTCTTGAAGAAGATAGGGCAGCTATGTGATTTTTGAGGTTTAAATATATTGGTGGCAGAAGATGGTGATTTTTGAGGTTTAAATATATGTACAATTCGGTTTTCAAAAGGAGCTATTGGTTGCAGAAGATGGAGTTGCGGGTTTTAGCGACTAGTTGAAGAAGATGGGAGTTATTGGTTGCAGAAGATGGGGCTTGCGGGGTTTTAGTGACGAGTTGAAGAAGATGGGGCTGCGGGGTTTTAGCGACTAGTTGAAGAAGATGGGGCTGCTGTGTGATTTTTGCAGGCTACCACGTTTTAGCTTATAGTTGAAGCTTTTTTTTTTTTTTTCTTGTAGTTTATTAAGAGGTGAATCACGGGATTTTTGGGTAGCAAAAATCACCGAGCCGCTTGTTGAAGTTATTTTTTTTTTTTTTTTGTGGTTTATTAGGAGTGATTTTCCCCCATTACCGGATAATCGATTTTCACCGTGATTTTTTGGACATATCGGTAATCTTTTTTCATTTCCTTACTATTAAAGTGTACCCAAACAATAAAAAAATCATATTCTTATATAATCTATTTTCATGTAATAGATTTTCAGGTTCCCAAACGACCGTTTAATGTTGTCAACTGGATGTCCCGATCTAGTAAGCCACCTTCAAGCTCTGGATATTTGTCTCATTATTTCCGTGTAATCTATTTTCATGTAATAGATTTCCAGGTTCCCGAACGACCCCTTAATGTTGTCAACTGGATGTCTCGATCTAGCCAACCACCTTGGAGCTCTGGATATTTGTCGCAATATTTCCGAATAATCTATTTTCATGTAATAGATTTCCAGGTTCCCAAACGACCCCTTAATGCTCTGGATATTTGTCGCAATATTTCCAAATAATCTATTTTCATGTAATAGATTTCCAGGTTCCCAAACGTCCCCTTAATGTTGTCAACTGGATGTCCTGATCTAGCAAGCCACCTTGGAGCTCTGAATATTTATAATAGATTTCCAGGTTCCCAAACGACCCCGTAACGTTGTCAACTGGATGTCCCGTTCTAGCAAGCCACCTTGGAGCTCTGGATATTTGTCGCAATAAGGTAATGGCTTTCAATCATGTCTTTAAGGAAGCGAATGAGAGGGCAAACTCACTTGCTAATGATGGAATGGGAGTGTTGGCCCCATCTTTGGTGCTCAATTTCTCATCTTTTTAATTGTTGTGTTTTTCATCGTTACATGGATTTGAGTAATAAAGTCATTTTGATCTTGTCAAAAAAAAATATATAGAAAGATTAACCAGGTCAGTCTCGTGGAGTTATCAATGATTTAGTTCCCTCCAACAAAAGAATAAAAGAAAAACCACCAAAAAAAAAAACGTAAAGAAAACCAACGAAAATAAAAGAAAAAACCGTAACTTTTTTTGACAAATTATCAAATTTTATTGCTGAAATTACACTAGATAAACATCACTAGATTTACATCACTCACAATTGGTATCGTAACTCGATTTACATCATCCAGAATTGAAATCATAACTCCTTGAAGAAGATGAACGTTGAGGAGGATGAAACTTCGAAAGTGATTCTCGATTTAGAGAGCACGATAGTATGGGAGAGAGGAGCAGAGTTGAGGAAGAAGACGCAAGGGGGTGAGAGAGAGTGCCAAGGTTTTAAGAGAGGCGCTGCCTTTAGTTTTCTGTTCAGACCCATTGTGCTAAGGACCCGGTTTCCATGCGACCAAGCCCGCATATTTAAAAATGCATGCCTATAAATAAATCTATTTTTGAGATGGATTTTTGGGCTTAATTTTTTAAGACTTGTAATCTCTAACACGGAGATCATGAATATGAACAAATAAATAAATTTTAAAAATTAAAAATAATAATTCTAGTAAAAAAACATTTGAACCAGTAGTTTTCATTGTTTTTAGATGGAGCACCTACTTGCATCCATCTTTAAGATGGATGCCTTACACTTTCTGGACCGCATATGCACTCATGCGGTCCAGCCCGCATGAGACAATTCTCCTTGCCCTAAACCCTTTATTCTTATTTTGAGTCCGAGCATCCCCAAGAACATGTTACCCCACCTTATGAGGTGGGAACTTGTTTTCGCACAATTTGTACCCCATAGCGGTAAAATATTTTCCCATAAGACAAGTTTTCATGGGCTTTACATATGAACCCAACATGCATTACTATATGTTTCAAATGAAAACCGTTTCATGATGCAAGTTTCCAAAACCAAAAATACAGATTCCCAATACCGCTTTGATAAGTTGTTCTTGGTTTCATAATAACGAAATGTACAAGTTATGCACCAGAAGAAAAAATACAAGTCATACACTAATAGAAGAGAGAGAGGTCTAGGTAGATCAATCTTCCCCAAAAAAAAGAAAAAGAAGGGTAGAAGAGGCGGTGGAGTACCATCTCACTCTTTCATTCTAACAGTAACTAAGATGTTCATTGCTATCATGTTACACAAGGACTGCACAAACAGCAGAGTCCCAGTGCCAAGAGCTGGGCAAAGAAAGACAGCCTCCATCACCCCCATCAAAACCAACATGAAAAGTGAAACATCAACTTAATTTCTCTATAACCTTAATAAGCCTTTCTTTACAACTAATTATGATTACGAATTCTTGCTCTCAACCCAAAATCCGCAACTTCTGCCTGTGGTGGAAGCAACGTATCATTAGGAGAGAAGGAAGAAGAGGTGGAAGGGACCTCCCCATCTTTTAAGGGGTTGTTGAGTGGGGCATCCTCACCAAAGTTGTGGAGCCTTCTTCCAATGAGGTAGCGATCATCACGTATAGAGTTGTGGAGATTGGTGAACCAAACATGGAACCTCCTTATGCAGAAGCACAGGAGAGCAAGGCAAAGGCACCCAACCCATGCGAACCTGTAAACAGCTGAATTTACAACAAGAGAGTAGCCTAGTGCAGGGAAAAGGCCACGTGCAAGAACATAAGGAACGCAAAGCACCGTCAAGAGCTTGATGAGGATAGGCCCCACAACTTCTTTCAACACCCATGCACCTTGTAGACGGTAGAAGCCATCAGCCCTCACCCTTTCAAGCTTCACCCGCCAGCTCTCATCAATAAGTGGCACCACCTGGTCCAGCATCACCTGTCAAGATCCTAATCAAAAACCAACAGGTTCCAACAGAAAACTATTTTTCCTCTCTAGTTCTTTCGTTTTCCTTCCCATGTTTGATAAATAATAAGCTATAGGTGATTACAATAAAAGTATTCTGTCCATATGATCATCATGGTAACAATATGGTCATAGGAGTCTCCAACATCCATCAACAGATTGGATGGCAATAGAGGGATAGCAGGTTAACATTTGGTACATACCAGCCTTCATCACTGTTGAACTTATTGGCAAGACAGTGATGCCCTATGATCATCCCGTTGCCATGAACATTTTGGTTATAGCATACTTTCCCATGTTCATACAAGACCGAACCATACATGTTTATCATCGTTCACATGAGCCGTTACATGAAATCCGTAGGGACTCCAATCTTCATGGATGGTGGTGTTGATCCAAATCTTTGTCAAAAGTCCATTGTTTTCTATCAGGTGGAAATACCAATCAACTCCACCATCCATAGTAGGTGTCAGTTTCAACTTTTAGTACAGCCAACCCCTAAAATGCCTAGCCAAAGTCAAACAATGACTAGGCAAAGGCAGCTTCAACAAGCACATGCATAAGGAAAGGAGGGAGACAAGCACATAGCATACAAACAAATATAGAATAGGTCCTCAGTCCATCTTTATTTTACATTATACACTTGCTTGCACACAGTGATGGATGCCCCTCAAGGGTCTGGGCAAGGGATTTATATAGCCTCAACTATGCGCATACACGTTTACCCATCGGATGCCTAGCCATTGTATGCATTACCATTACCACCCACCACCTGGTGTGGCAGTTACAAACAGTGCTTAGAAACTCGCCGAGTCCGACTTGTACTCAGTTGAGTTACTCGGGACATGGCAGCCTGCCAAGTCTGGAAGGCCCCTAGCAATGTAGCAGTACTAGTCCAAATTACTATAGTAACTATGGCGAGTACATTGGGCTCAGGTGAATCCACAAAAACTAGTTTGAGTCCAAAATGTTTTGCTGGTTTTGGAGGTGAGGAGAATCCGACCCCCTATTTCTTCCATTTTCTTTGTGGTTCAATACAGAATCTCTCAAAATTTACACCTAGGTGTATTTTCCATCGTCCGTTGAATCCAACCACTAGATATAGTCACATAAAAAGGAAAAACAAAAATCTTGGATTTGCGAGATTTTTTCTTTGAAATAGGGTTTAGTTGAAGTTGTCATCTTGCTTGTGTTTTCGCAACCCTAGCTCGACCTTTAGGCCTATTTCTTTCTCTGTCGAACCCAAAGCTTAGATTTCACTACCCCCTCTAAACAAAAGAAACTCAAAATTTCAGATTTGTGAGTTTATGAAATAGGGATTGCCTGAAAATTAAGAGCTTGGATTGACTTTCTTTATTACTGTTTTTAAGTTTTACCTTTTCTTATTCAGACTTTTCCCAAATTCTTCGGGGTTTTTTTAGCCTTTTTGAGGGACTCAGCGAATCCACTTGGGACTCGCCAAGATAAGCACTCCGTTAGGATTAGAAGCCCATACTCCACCATCAACGACCTCTCCCTCACAGCTTATTAAAGGGAGACAATGGTCCAGTAAAGTCAGTCCATGGGGCATTATTGCACCATACATGACACTTCAAACGTTCATGGAAATTACACAACCATCAACGGCCACACAGGAGCATTACATATGCACTCACCCTCACTCACATGGCCTATCGTTGTTGCATAAGACCATGTCTGAACACAATTCAAATCCACACTTGAATTTGAAATTACACAATTCAAATCCAAACTTGACCTTTATTGGTCAACACACCTACCCCTAGGTTTATGGCCAGTGGCCAGCCACACCTCTAGCACATGGGACATGCCCACCGTGAAGGCCTCACCTTATGAGTCTAAAATGGTCCACCAAGTCCCACCATCTTAGCCATCCATTTGCAACATTATGCCCAAGTCTCGCACCAACAGTCTTGCTGCTAGCTCACATGGGAACGAATCCCCGAGCCTCATGCTTTGTGCACCACACAGCCCTGCTCTCCTGCAGAAGGTCGGTCAAGGCTAAAGGTACTCCCTCATATAGGTTTTTTGAAAACAACTAGCCTGCCCAGAAGCAGAGCTAAGGTCTTTTCTACTTTGTTCCACCACCAAGAGAGGCCAACTCTGACATCCTTGAATAAAACATGTCATGTGACAAGTTCCCCATAACCCCTTGGCGAAGGCTCACACATGCTTGACAAAGCCTCCAAGTTCTTATATCCACAATCTTTGGTCATATCCATTACTGCCACCAAGTATCTTCTCTCGTGCAAACAAGGACAGGTCCTTTGCTGCCACCATGTACCAACTGGGTGCATGGTCAGCCCTGTTACTGCCACCGGGTCCCATGCTGCCAAAGGAAAGCCTAACTCTAGCCTCACCACAAGTTGAATACCACCCGCGAAGCTCATGCCAATTGTCCAGTCTCATCTTCATTGGCCTACTAGGACAGATAAGATGTCCCTGACATTGCACCCCTCGTTAGACAAGGATGCAGAACCACCAGGGAGACCTTTGCAAATAGGCCATTCTCACCACTGATGGACTCTACGTGGTGACCAAGAGTCTCCACTTAATTTCTCCTTGACACTGCTATGAGTCCTTTAGCAAGAGTCACAAGCACCATCACCTCTGCACACATTGGCTTAGGATCTTCCAAGTTGGTACACTGGTCTCTGGCAGCTGCAATGCGTTCAATAGCTGCAAGAAGCTTGATTGCACCAGGGTCTCTTCCAACTATTCTCACTGCAATGAGGAGTTTGCTTCTATGTGCAATCCCACACTCTATGGCCACTACAGCAAATGAAATGCCCTGTGAAGGCCTTCCTGGGTGCCTCTCTCTCTTTGATAGAACTCTCTCAAGTCCAACCTCATTGCGGTGCACCACTCTCGCTGTTAGGCCTTGAAAGCCCATCCTTGAGGTTAGGCTTCATCTTGCCATGAGGGTTGTAGATTAGTAGGCCCTCAGCAGCTGCCAGAACAGAAGGCAAGTGTCTCACACCTTGTCTTCTAAACTCCGCCTGAACCCGAGCTCGTGGTCCAGACACAAAATTGAACAAACAGTGCTCCTCATTGACAGTCAGGATATCCAACAAGTGAGAAACTTCTTTGCATACTCCCCCTAAACCTACTTGTCAAAGCTTTAGCAAACCTTCACGAGCCACCCAGGTTGCATTGGCTAGCAAAAACTGATCGTTTAGGTCCTATTTCAGGGCCTCCCAAGCATAGTTGTTTGGAGCAAGGGCGGATGGGGGTGTGGGTGCTAGAGCTTGGGATCAAGTCCTGGCTGAAGCTCCCTACCCCTTGGGGCGCTTGGGCCATTGCTCAGGGAGCGACCTGGGAGCGATCTCCTATCTATGCACTACATGTATATGTATATGCACTACATGTATATCGTATATTTGCATATGTATATGTGTGTATGTATATGTGTGTGTGCGTATGCTTTTATTTTTGCTATATAGATTAATTCCAATATATAATGCATATATATATATATATATATATATATATATATACACACACAC